AAATACACAGAAGCACTGTTGCAATTGAAAGAAAAATATGTTGAAACATTGCAAAAAGAAAAAGATATTACACATAAGATTGTTTCGTTATGGTGTGATATAGAAATGGTTAGAGAAAAGAAAAGGTGTATTGAAACTCATCATGTTCTTGATGTAACAAAGAAAAGGCTATCTGAAAAAGAATTTGAGAAAGAGTGGAATGAAGTTTTTAATGAGGAATTCTCGGATTTGCTTGATAAATTAGAGTATGAGTATGCGACGAAATATTTAGAATACAAAGAAGAAAAGTGTACACTGAATTTGGATGATTCTGCCAAGAGAAGGATTAGAAAACCAAAATTGGAAATAGACGAGGAAGCTTTAAAAGAAGAAGTGGAAGTTATAACTAATAACATTGTTACTAGAGATAAAATCAATATTAATTTAAAACAGGAGGAAAATGTTATATCTGAAGCTGGGAAACTTAATGAAAAACTATACAAAAACGAATATTATTTTGAAATCTACGTTGACAATGTTTTTGTATGTGAATCTGATCACTTTATGCCTAAAAATGACAAAATCACTGAAATAGAATTCGTAGAATCATTCTCAGTACAAATTTTATCTAATAATACTATATTGATATTACTGTTAAAAGAAAACGGTAAAGAAGTAGCAGAGTTAAAATTAGACTTGGCTAATTTAAAAAAAAGTAATAATAAGAATTCACAATTCATTGCACATAATTTGGTTTACAATTTAATTGTTGAGCCAAATGCAAAAATTGTTGGCTGTGGATATAACATTAAAGAAATAGCTTCTAAAAACGAAGTGAGACTGAAAAGTAGTAGTTTGTTTAAGGGTAATTTGTACACCAATTGCGAAACAAGACTCAAGATTGGTTGGAATGATAAACTTGGTCAAAACAAAGATGAGGAACTAAAATCCTTGATGGAAATTGGAAGACAACTGAAAAGATTAATACATGGAACAGATAAACCCAATATGGATTTACTTATTGATATTATAAACAAGCTTTACGATAGAGATGTTAGCAATGATGAGAATGTAATTAACATACTACGAAATATCTGTAAAACTGAAATATATGAAGATGAGACCTTCTCTATCGACGAAAATAGTCCAGAATACATACGATTGAAACTTCTTCATTTAAGGAACAACGGAGAATTGACAAATGTAGAAAATAAGCTAATTCCCATACATGCAAGTCAAATATCGACAGAACTACTTAATTGCTTACAAAACAATCATAATGATTTTGATGTTCAATATTTCTCTGATAAGTACGTTGATATGGATCCGATAGAACTACAGCGGTTTATTAGCGCTCAATACGTGCGGAAGTTGAATAAGAACATGTTGAAGAATTTGAATGAGTATCTCTTGAGAAAGACTAATAAAGATGTCGTACGAGATTTCAAGGATTTAAGTTTGAGGTAAGTCTGTCTTTCTTCATACTTATTTCAGATCATATTTGAATACAACTGGATTGTGGAGTGCCCATGGGGAAAAAGTAAAAAAACTGATCTTTTAGATTTCTGGTGCACTTACAATCTATGAGTTCCGAATTACAGATCTCCGCCTCTTCTCAGGTCCCTGTTCACAAACCACTCGACCCTAGCGACTCTGGCGACTATATCCAACGGGGCAAAGCAACTGTTGCTCAATGAAAGCTTGTGTAAGGAACAGGAGATCAGAATCACTGTGCACCGAGCGTTCAACTTATGCGACAGAAGTGCAGCGATTTTGGACGGTGACGAGTATGATGATCAGATTGCTGGTAAGTAGACCTTAATAGCTAACATTTTGGATTTAAGTGTAATTAAAAATAAGTGTGGGAAACCCTTCATACAGTTTATTTCCCTTGAACTTTGAATTTTTTGATGCTGCGGTCTTAAATAATAAGAATAAAAATTACAAATGATTTTTTTAACTCTTTGGGGTAACGACACCATCATTCATGATACAAGATAGTAAAATTGCATCATTTCATACTATGTAACACTATTCGACCAAAGAAGTTGCAGGCTTCAAGGTTCGTCCGTTGCGTCCATTTGTGCGCCTGAGTTACCACGGAATTAGTGTTCAGACTGCTACTGCTATTGGTTGCCATCCCACATGGAACCAAACTTTAAAAATTTGCACTAGGTAAGTGTTTATAATTTTAGATACATGTATTGTTAATAGACGAGTTACTAGAGAATGTGCTGTACATATTTTTCTGCTAAAGATAGGCATTGTGATATTGAAAAAAAAAACTATATAGTGGAGAGAATCAGTTTTTATTTTTTTATGTATTCCTTGTTCATAGTGCGTGGATAGTTTATATTGTATTCATTCTTATAGGCTTGACCCTCTCTCCAACATTCAAATAAACATCTACGACGAAAATAAGGCCAACATCTCCGATATGTCAGATGAGGAGCGTAAGACGGTCCATTATCGATTTTACAACAAGTGGATCGGTGCAATGCAGGTACCACTCTACGATGTGCTTAGTTTGGGATCGGTAAGTTTCGGCAAATTAGGACAATATTTGGTATCTTGTATGTAACCCTTGCAAATACTATTTTAATCGTTGTCTGTCAACATCACACGAGTCCATGTTTAAAAGATAAGATTGATGACTTGAAGGCTTAAAAAGATAAAGGAATTGCAACCATGTGCGATTGACAAATTAACAGAGAGTGTGTACCTACAAGGCAAGTTAATTCTGATGTTTAAAGTAAAGAGATAAAGACTAATTTAAGCATTGGTTTGAGGTATTTCGTACTGTGTAAAAGGTGGATCTATAATTGGTGTATTTTTTTCGCAGCTCTGCGTCACTAACAAAATATCATCACCACCAATAATCTTTGGGTACGAAAATCCATTCCAATCGAAAGACAGTGCACAATCTTTAATACCAGAAGTAAATCAGCTTATGAAAAAGGACGCTTCATTCCTCTCCATTCATATAACTTCAAGTCTTTCACATTTAGGTGGATTAAATGGCTACGGTCAACCTATACCTAATTCGGATGATGACTACCTCGTAAATCATTTAAACAACTTTGTCAGTGAATATAAGAACGATTTTCCGTCCCGGAATATATCTTTAGCGTTCATAGATAGCTCAGGAAGGAATAAATGTGTGACGCAGTTTTTACAACCAATTCTTTTACCGGAAATAGAATGGTTTCCAAAAAATCCAAAGGTTCGAACTGAATCTGCATTGTCTAAGAGCTCGGGAAAAAGTTCGTCCTCAAAAAGTAGTGGACGAAGGAAGGAAGAGGTATTTTTTTGTTTACTTCTTTATAAAAAAAAATTAATGATAAAATTGTTGGTATATTATTATAAAACAACATCCAAAAAATAGAGTCGTTGTTCTTACTTGGTCTAGGTATTTTCAAAAGACAATAATAAAACGGCACGAACATTAGGTGCTGTGGCAGATGATACTATCGATATTTTAATTTTTTCCAGAGTGGAGAAGAAAAAGAATCAATCTACAGTACAGTAAGCTGGAGAAACGGAGAAAGCCAGCTGTCGAAACTGATGAATGCGTGCGTTAGATACGTCTCTCTGATACCCACCTATGATGTTATTGAGACACATAGTGTCACACTTATGGGTGTGGTATGTATTTCCAATCGGAGAGATAACAATGAATTTACTTCGATAGAATGTGTTTCCAGGATAGACAGTACGGAGTCTGTCAATGACTTGCGCAGATCTAGACCAGATGTTATATTGGTGTTGTTCATTCGAAATCCAATGCTACATTTCTGTCTAAAGTGTCAAAACAGATTTGATACCTACTTCAGTACCTCTTGCATTGTTTTCGCATGTTGCTTTTTGTCAGCAATATTTTGCAAATATTTCAGGAACTACTAAAGGTCCTATATGGGTCGCCACTAGAGCATACAATCCTGTTAGCCAGCTTTTTCCTTCAGTTGGGCGTTCGTTGTTGGTTGGCCGCAACCAACCTGAGACGTTATACCGCCTATCTTCTTACTAGATACGACCTCACTACACGAAACGTGGTGAGTCAAGAGATTTTTTGTAATGAATGCTTATTGTTCTTTTTTAATATCGGCCAGCCAAGTTTTGTTTTTCTTGTGTTGCTCGTGAGTTTACTTAAATTGCTTTTGTGCAAATTTCTTTGCACCTTACTGCAGTAAGCGTCTCTATGGAGTGTTACGATTCCTTTCATCTTTGCCTAAAATGTACTTTGGATTTTGTCCAGGTACTCCTCAACGATGAAATGCGTAGTCGTGGATTCTTGAACAGGAACGATGGGTACATCTGGCACGTATACGACGCGGTTAGCGGGGAGCGAACTGAACTCAGGGATGTCGCCTGCCCACTCAAGACTGTGGATTTCGTCTTTGATAATGATAACGTAAGGGAATTTCTATGATATGTTTTTGTCACAAACAATGGTACCTTTTCACTATACGAGTACGCTTGGACTTAGTCCACTCGGATGACGCTACTCATAGTGTGAAAACACGTGATCCGAGCGCACTCGGATATCGACATCCATTAACTCGTAGAGTAGATTCTTGAGAATTGGATGAACGAGGAAGGCCTGAGATGAAATGCTCTGACAGTACTTCTGAAAAATATCTATGTTCATTAGACGAATTAGGATAGGTTGATGATGAAATGTGAACTGTATTAGGTACAAGTTTCATATTGAACTTGTCAACTTCTAAACCCATTTGTTTTAAGTTGAATTTTTCTTTCAGCCAATTTATGATATTGCCAAGGATAAGTATAATGATTTTATTTATTTCAGATATGGGTGAATGTTCAATCGTCTCAAGACTGCGAAAGTATGTCGTTCGACTTTACCAGAACGTCCGATTGGCAACCAGTAAGTTCTACCTAGATAATATTTTCATAATATTTTCATCTAACTGGTAATACTCGTTAATCTAGCCTAATGCGACGAGGATATATTCCGGATATAAACCTGTGATGGTTTTTTAAATATTAGTCTCATGTACTATATGCGTCAAATAATCCAAGGACTAGCAGGGATTTAAGCAAATTGTGACAACTTAACAGAGACGTCTCATCAATTTGTAGGTATTCGATAAAACAGTGTTCGTGATGAAGCTGCCTGTGGCATCAGAAGTAGGGCTGTACAGTCCCCCAGCTGATGTGGAGCGATTGAGGCAAATGCTCGAGACGAAGATCAAGGAGAAAGTGCAGAAGTGGAGGTCGCACATGAAGACTATTTGGAACAGGTAAATCTGCGATTCACAGCGCTCCCTCTCCTACCATTTCTTTAGAAGAGTAACATGTATTCAAAATGTTTCCTAAATTCGGAGACCAGTCTGGGGGTCAATTCAGAAACTTACGATAACTCAGATGTCGACCGATTTCTTTTCATTTTTATTCGAAACCGAACGGAAATGACGTCATACCCGTTCGATTACTTGAACTTCTCGACCGGCAAAGGCTACAAAACGTTATTTAGAACACAGTTATCCAATAAAAGTCACCGAACGTCCTATTGTTTACAAAGCAAGAATGTAACGTGGAAATCTTATTATTTGAAATAAAGTCTGGATTTTGTTCAATTTTATTAATTTATTTTAATGCAAGACTAATGCATTCCTATATTTTAGGCCCTTGAAGTCTTAAAAATTTATATAAAAGGACTTTCTTTTTTAAGTAACCCGAGTAACTCCGTAAACGCTGTTGGATAACGATATCATATCCAACGTTTAAGTCTGAATGTTCTGAATAGCTCGGAAAGCGCGCTTCGTTTCGATAACGACATCCAATCTAACGATTCGGTTAAAAATTTAGTAGCAGTGCTCCACTGCTCCTTGTGAAAGAGTTCATCCAGGGGAAGTCCTGCCACCTTACCCATTTCTGGCAGACATTACAGCATTACTGGGTTCCGGTTTTGAAGGGTTAAGGGTGCTGGCGAAATTACAGGCACACATATGCGGGCGCAGTGGTAGTGCCCCTCAGATCTTTGCGGTTTAAAGCTCTGAGTGGCACTGTAACTGTTATGGACAGGCATGTTGCTTACCGTCAGGCGCACGACTAGTTCGTCCCGTCACTTGAAAAAAAAATATCGAAGAGTTCTGAATCGGGGTGCTGGTCAGGGAATTTAGAAAATTATGAAGTTAAAAGAATTTTTTTTGTTAAATGATGCGCTTGGCAAAATCACGACTAATGCATGCAAAATCACGACTACATTAAGCAGAGTAAATATAGGTTTTCAAGAATATTAATCATTTGTACGTGATTTTAAAGTTATAGTTGACTTCAGGTACTGCAATAGTTTGCTTAAAGAAGCGCTTCCGCACTGGGAGTACTGGACGTTTAATCCTTCAGAACCCAAGCCCGTGCTCAGCCAGCGTCTTAAACAACTAATGGTGTCCTATAAGGTAACGGTATATTCGTTCGCAAATATTTCTTCTTTGTTATAATAATAATAACGCACACACTCAACATAGCCCTGCACTAGGGAAACCCTGTGTCGCGGGTGCCATGGACACACACATAGACAACCACAAATTACACCCAAACTCACGAGAGAAATAAATGTAGGTCATACAAATATTTCTGTCGGCCCGGGAATCGAACCTGGGACCTCTGCGTGGCAGTCCGGCATGGTAACCGTTCTGCCACAGAGGCAGCTGATGTCCTTTTATGTGCAATATACAATGAACGGTTAAAATACAGCTATTATCACTAAGGCCAGGAATGTAGTCGGCTTTGAACAAAAAACTGCAAGCGGAATGAATTTGATGTCGTCAGACCGCGTGTAGGTACTCTCAGGTACACGTTTGACGCGTACGCAATGCGATTTGGACGTGTCGTAATAGTGTGCAATAATTAAGATAACTCACTATAATATTTGGCTCCTCCTTCAAACATCGGACTATAGTTACTTGTAAAAAAATGCGACATCTAAAGAATAAGAATATGAAGAATTTAGTAAAGATTTCCTAAATCGTCTTACTTATGAATAAAAAAATAATTAAATTGCAGATGTTCGGCTTCCCGCTAAACTTACCTTACGTGAACACGAAATCAGTAATATCGACTGTCAAGGCTACAGCGGTACACGTGTGTGACGACCCTAACGTCGAGTTTGGGCTGGCCGTTGAGATGTACGCGTACCCCAACAATGTGATTAGTGTCTGGGTGTTTCTTGTTAGTATTACTCGATTGTAAATGGGTCTTCGCCATTTCAATGCGGACAACGGGTGTAATTTGACTCGTGACTCTTTCTGGTAAGGGATACATTGTCTTCCAGCAATAAAACTTGCGATGGGCATAATTTGGCTTGAAACTTTCAAATCAGAGATCGATCGACTTCAAGCAATAGAGCTTGCGATGGATATAATTTGGTCTGAGACTCTTTTTTATTAAAAGATCGATCGACTACCAGCAATAGAG